AGCAGAAAACAATTCAAGAGCCACTTTGAATTCCAACTCTGCGATCTTATTCTTGATCATCTCTCTCAATTCCGGGCGATGCAGTTCAGCTTTTGCTGGAACCGCTTTCGGCATTGCAGGGACACAAAATTTCGGTCTATCCTTTGGAATGACCTCCCATCTTGACACACTAGGCTCACCTGAGGGGCTAGGGTTTACCCGAAGCTTTCTTGCAGTTGCAACCGCACCTTTCTTCTTCTTCGGACCCTTTGATGCTGAGCTTGATGCAGCACCACCGCTGCCCACAGCCATCTTTTCAGCCTCCTCCTCAACAAGCTTTTGCCTATCCTTCGGACTAAGCATTTTCCAAAAATCCGATGGGATCGACTCAGGGCGTTTTGACCCTTTGTACGTTTTCACAAGGCGTGTGCCGTCCCAATGATAACCATCCGGGATTGGTGTTCCAGGTGGAGTGTATTTGATATCAGGAAAAACTGGTTCCTCAGCCGGCCTTTCATCACTGGCAAGTGCGTCAAGCACTGCCTCCGTTGACTTGTCAATTGCTCCTTCACTTGCTTCTGCATGTTCCTCTGTTTGCAGTTCGGATTGAAACGGAATCGGACGAGGATCAGCAATGACATTGTCAGCAAGGCGGTCCGGCTTGGGCTCTTTGGCCTCTTTCAATGCACGGAGTGGGAAGACAAAACCTCCCGCGATGAGCTCAACACGTCGTGCTCGCTGCACTGTGATGCTGCCCGTTTCTGCATGGTAATCCAATGCTTCTAACTTGGCAACAAGATACTCACCTTTCCATGCAAAACCAGGTTGAATATGGTATCCCAAAAAGATTCCATCATTTGCTGTTGGTGATGTCTTTCCAGATGTGTTGTCAACCCTTTTTGGATTGTTCCAAAACAGTATCTTTGCACCGAAAGGAATCAACTGACCTGGAAAATCTTCTTCGAATCTGAGTTTCCATGGGGCATCATCACCGTTGAGCTGTGGCGTGGCATTCACTGCCATGGAGAAATGCTGCATAGCCATTGGCCAATACTGCAATGGAAGACCTGACTGCACGAGGTTTGTGCGTGTGCCTTCAAGCATGTGCCTGATCTCCCTCTCCACAAACGACTTTGAACTGTCCACATACTCTGTTGATGTTTGATGTCTGTACCCCAACTCTGAAATTGTAGCAATAAGCTCTCGTGAATTGTCAGTGTAAACTGCCCCAACTTCATCCTTGTGAGATAAGAAGTGGTTGAATGCGTTAACACATGACTCACTCGATTTGGTCTGGCTTGGATAGACGTGTCTGAACTGAGTGTGAATGTCCTTCATCACCAATGCCACTGTTTCACCTTTGACGCCTTCTTCCACATTGGATTTGATTACAGTATGGTCAGCGACAATGTGATCCCCAAAGCTTTTGGTTTCCAACCTTTTCTGTCCCCCTTTCTTCTTTGCGGGTGGCGCCATCATGCGCGCCTTCTGACAGATTTTGCAAAATGGATTCTTGGGGTAATGGCAAAACTGGTGAGATTTGCTGCATGCCTCTTGCTCAAGGTCAGATGCCTTTCTAGACCTGACGTACTCGGTTTCACTATCATGAGCTACTCCCTCATCCACGCCTTCTTCCTCGGCACCTTCTGCTTTTGCAGCAACCATTGCAAAAAGACGTAACAGATCACAATCTTTCTTGAACTGTCCACTGTTCAAAACACGACAAGAGCTATCAATAACCGGCACCCGGCCGTCTACATTAAGCTCGATGACTCCCATGTCCGGACGAATGAAGTAAGGCCTACCATCAGCTGGCCACACGAAACTGTAACCCTGTTCCATACACCTGACCCCAACCGAAAGAACAGCAGGAGTTTCCTCAAGAATGTATGGTGAAAATGGCTGATGTAGGGCATCGACCTTTACGTCGGCCACCTCATCCGCTCGTGTCGAACCGTTCGCTGTAGCAAGGCTGATTGGAGTATCGCTGACACGGCGGTTTGTCGCCTTTGCAGTCTTCAGCATACCCTCACTAATCAAATCCTGTTCACTGCCCGTGTCAACCAACCAAACACATCCATCTTTTGATGCCGGTGTAGCAACAGTGGGCAAATGAGTGTTACTGACTTTGTTCTTGGGACCGATCATTGCTCTACAGTGGTTGCATGATACTCCCCCTTCTGGGTCATTGCATCGGAATCGGCATTTGGGCTGCGTCTCACTGCCGAAGAGCTTCACAAGTTCCTGCAACTGTCGGGCCGAAACCTGAGCACGGTGAGCCACGAGTTTGTCGGGTTTTGGCACTGACTCTGAATCAGGGAACGTCTTCTCATAGATTCGGGGTTTGTGCACTACCTTCCTCTGTTCACCTGTTGCTGGGACTTTGATGTATTCCACTTTTGATGAAAACACAATAGCTCTATGGCATTGTTCTTTCATGGCCTTTGTAGCTTTCGGCAACCCTTTTCCCTTTGCTATGCATGCATACCTTTGAGTAATGCATGGCGCAGCTTTTGCACTGGCCTTCTTCTTTGGTGCAGGGCTATTGGTGCGTTTTGGATCCTTTGTGGGTGCAGCTGCAACTTCATGTTTGTAAAAACACTTGTCACCACGACGACATTTGCCCTGTTGAAAGTAAGTGCATGGGATCTTGGCCATCTCTTCCTTCGACTTTCTGTTGGGGGAACCACTTCTGCTACCACCTTTGCCCTTACCCTTCCTTTTGGGGGTGCCAGATCTTGAGGAATCTTTGACATGCTTGTAGGGACAGTCTTTACCCTTTTCGCACTTGCCATCCCTGAACTTGTAGCATATTTTCTCCCCTTTTCCGCTCTGGCTACGACCACGGGTTCGACCTCGGTCGCCCTTTCCTTTGCCGCGATCTTTGCCCCCCTGAGCGGGTGCAGCGGGCTGAGGCTTTTCGGTCTGCTTGTTCTTTTCAACGATTCTGTTTCTGTTTGAACGGAGTCTTTCTCTATCCAAAAGATCACGAATGTTTCTCAACAAGAATGCATAAGACTTTTGTTCTGACTTTTCAGGAGCTCTGTCAAATGCTTCGATGTCATACTTCATCAATTGACATTTTCGGATTTGTCTGAGTAAGATGTCTCTGAGAACCAAATCATCTGGCGGGGTTTCCATGCCGGCAATTGTGGCGTCCCATCGGTTCAGAAACCTTCTAAGGTCCTCCACAGATTCTCCAGTGCGAACGACTCCAAGTAGGTCCTCGACGCGGTAGAGACTGCCAGCTTCCTCAGACGTCCTGAAGTAATCTTCAAACATCAAAAGGACTCTCCTACCTCTGACTTGGATCCCTTTCTTTGATTTCTCATCTTTGAAGTTATGGATCTTTGTTGCTAAATCACCTTTGGCCGAGCGAGTTAACGCTGCCGACAATTTGGTGTCAAGTGTGATAAATTTCCCAGGTTCCTGCAGCTTTTCCTCCAACTTTTCCCTAGGGGTTTTGTTGTCAAAGACTTCATTGAGCCAAAGCCAAGCCTCATCGGGTTTGTCAGAGCACGACTTCACTTCATCCCTGACGTGATTACGCCAGTGACGATACGCTTCTGGGGCAGGCATGTCGTTCAGTTTGATAGTCTCTGCCTCCTTTGTTCGGGGCTTTTCACCATCTGAATCCTTTGAAGTCAGTCTAGTGATGAGATCTAGCAATTGTTGACCTGAAAGACCTAAGCCTGCTTCAGCTGCTTTCTTGCCAGGGTCGCTTGCTATTACTGTAGGACTGGGCACACTATGTTCTTGGTTTGCATCATCATCATTTTGTCTTTGAACTGGCAATGGTGGCAGTTTTGGAGGGGCTGCTGATCCGGCAGGGGTTGTTGAGAACAAGTTGCTCAACCTTTCCTTGGCGTCCATGGCTAAGCTACTCATACCAGTGTTTGGCATGGGTTCTGCTCCAGCCTTAGTACCGACCGCTGATTTTGGGGTCATGTACAAATCGACATTGTTCCCGCCTTGTGAATCATCAACTTCAACGGCTCTGTCGACATTGATTTCCGGGGCGCTGTACTTGTTGAGCTTCTCCATCAAATCCTCCACTTGTCCCTGCAATTGGAAGTTGAGTTCAGCAGCTTGGTTTTCCTGCCTACTGCATTCCTCTCTAATCTCCTGGATTACAGCTTGTTCCTCCTTCTTGAAACCTTCCATGCCATTCTTTGCATACTCCACTGTTTCGTCCACGATTCGTTTACAGTCTGCCTCGAGGCTACCTCTGAGTTCAGAAAACCTTTGTTCGTACTGGGCTGTAACATGGGCTACCTTTTGGTTGGCTCTTTGCTCAGCTTCCAGTGCAACTGCATTTGCAGCGTTCTTCAGCTTTGCGTTTGCATCGCTAAGTTCCTGTCTCAGTTTTGCTACCTCATGCTCAGTTGCCGTTTGGGACATTGAATACTCTGACACTAGGTGTTCATGTCTGCGATCAGCTTCTGCACGTTGATGGGCGATTTCACTAAGGCAAATTCCCTCAAACTCTTGGTACAGTTGCTGGACCTTTTGTTCCATGAGATGTGTGTGCCTCTCCTCTGCCTCTTGCCTGAAAGCATCAATGTTACCTTCGTTGATGTAGGTAAGATTGTTTTGCACGAACTGGAAATAGGCTTGCACTGGCTGTGTGAAGAAACCTTCATCCACTGACATGGGCGTGGGGTTTGTCCCAGCCGGCAAGCTTTGTTGAGAACCAGTTGATGCAGATACTGTTCCGGTCGAAGGGACAAGGGCACCTCCACCTGTAGCGTCATGCGTTTTGTCCATGGCTTTAGAGACTACGGCTGATAACCTGTATTTTCAGGTTTCAGCAAGGGTTAACCTAGTTATACCCAAATGGACTGATAAACCTAAACAGGGGAAGAAACCGTTAAGCTAGCGACCCAGCGCCTTTTATACTGAGCCGCAATGCTGTCAGATACATCTATGATACAGCTATGTTTTACATGGGGTGCAAATACAATTTTATCTTCAGTCTATCAGATTTATTTCCCATATATGGCTTTTTTTTGCCAAGCAGCTTGACGATGTTCCAAATGAGAGGTCTGCACCTCAGTCAATGAGATCCCGCAGGAAACAGAATGTTTAACCACTAGTGCAGTGATGGGTTAATATGGAGGTTTCCTAAAATGGGGATCCCCAAAACCATGGGTTTCAATACAAATATATACTGGTTGGTGGTGTCAACCCTCTGAAAAATACTATTCCCAATATATGGAAAAATAAAAAATGTTCCAAACCACCACTTATTTATCACTTTATATACTATAATATGGTCCATGTGTTTGGATGATTGGGTGTACCCCACCAGTGAATACAAGTTGTTTTTTCCTAGCAAAATCACTGGGTCTCAGCACAAAAGAGGAATGGCTTGATTAAATTTAAGGGGAAGTCCATTTCGGAAAACCATGCCCACATTTTAAAAATATACATATATATATATATCATGAAGGTGTTCCTGCAATTCTTCCCCTGAAATTATGGGTGGTAAAACAGATCAAGAAGAAACCATGTATGTAGTGTACCCTCCCCCGAATTAATCACCCTGAAAATAGCCTATGTTCAGTGGAAAGTATATAATCTTCCAACCCCCTGGCAAGGCCTCCATAAAAATGAAGGAATGCTAACATCCCATGGCCCAACCCACATGATCCAACTTTACGGTAGCAAACCTTCAGTCCGATCTCCTGCTCAAATGGTCGCTTCCAGGTAACAGACATGAGCAAATGGAGCAGTGAAGATGCTCAAAAAGTTACCCCAGCAGGATAAAAACCTTTCCGAAACGGCTCTAAAACACGTCAAATCCCCATGGATGATCAGTGGCTGATCCCGTCATCTGAGGATGATCCAGTATGTACGAACCAGAAATGGGGGAAAAAAATGCCCGGAATCATCTCCAAGTTGTGGCCGAACATCTATCCATGCTTGGATGATCTTGGATGTTTCAGGAATTGCAGGTGAAAATCAGCAGTTCATCCGAATGGGCTTCATCCACGGATTATATCATGGTGATCAACCACATACCAACCGCAATGCACATCATTTACATTCATTTACCAGTGCCATCCAACTGTTGGTTAAAATGTCCGTTGAAATGCTCCATGAAATGGTTGCTTGAATCCAATTCTTGCTGAGTAAATCTCTGGTAAACATACAAAAAACTGATGGGAAAATCACCATTTTTTATGGGTAAATCCACTATTTCTATGGCCATTTTCAATAGCTTTTTGTTAAATTACCAGAGGGTAAATCTCTACAAATCCTTCATGACAGTTCCCTCCAGACCATCGAGCCATCCGGATTGCCCCAGCAGGCGCTGCATTTGGCTCCCGAACTGTTGAAGGTCGTTCGAGAGTTTGTCAACATCTCGGTCCTGCTGAGATGTCTCAATCGATTGAATCAACGTTAAAAAGTGGATTTTAACCATCAAACATAGGAATCCAACAGACAAAATAGGAATTAAGTCTGGAAAACTTGGGATTTCGTTTACCAGGAAACATGTGGATCTAATTACAGTTCGTGTTGAAAAAAAAACAATGTCTTTACCATGAACCAAGAGGGTTTACAATATGTGTGTTCCTTTCATCCACTTCTTGGCAGGTTGGTGCGGAGCAACCCAGGTTGTGTCTGAAAATGATACTGGGGTTACCATGAAATATGGATTAATATGGCAATTTGCTACAGGGAAAATGATGATCACCATGAAATTTTGGATGTTTTACCTTGTCTTTACATCTCCCATATCAAATGGGATTTCAATTCTTGCGAACTCATTCCAGCTCCAGCGTGCATAGAAAGAGAGCCGGGGAGCTGGAAGAAGACGAAGAAGGAAGAACTTGGGTTTATACTATAATACTAAGTTCTACCCTCCGGTAAACTAATTTGACTATGATACTATGGAAAATCACCATGCTATTAATGGGTAAATCCACTATAAATGGCCATGTTCAATAGCTTTTTGTATGTTTACCAGAGGGTAACCCATAGTTTACTGGGGGATTATGAACTAACCCATAGGAATATAGCGACGGAATGATCGTCAGAACATCGGAAAAGACACATCGAGGTAAAAGTCACTGGGGAACTTACACGCTTAGAACATCAGAACCATACAGACCAGTACCATGAGATACTGTGGATGGGCCAGCGAAATTCTGCACCAAAAGGATGGTTTGAAACCCCAACAAAATCATGGGATGTAGAAACCACCGTTTTCAACTGGTGCAGAATTTCGCTGGCCCATCCACAGTAGTACTACCCTCTGGTAAACTAACATAACCATGGAAAATCACCATCTTTGATGGGAAAACTCACTATAAATGGCCATTTTCAATAGCTTTTTGTATGTTTACCAGGCCGGGTACCCAACCCGCGAATCATCTCAATGGTTGGAAAATCCCCTAGCAGTTCCATCCAGTCCGTAGATTTCCCAGCGCCATGGTCGTGACCAGTCCATGAAAATCATCCATTGACTATCCATGAAAACACTATTGATTAATGGATGAACAATGGAGAATTATATATATATAATATACTATATATATATTATACTATATATAATATACTATATATACTATATATATATATATCATCCATGAATAAATTCTGAATTATCCTAAAATCTCTCATTATTGTTATCACTTCGCAGAGAAACTCCATCGAGATCCTCACCTTCTCCCTGGTCGCGTCTTCGGTTTTTTGAATCTGTTGCTTGATCTCGGCGATTTCCTCAGGAAATTCGTGGTCAAAAAAAAAGGGGGTGGATCATGGTGGATCTCAACAAAAACGAAGATTTCACCGGAAACCTCACCGGTGAATCTCAACAGCCAGGATAAACACAGGCATTTCATCCCTGGAGATCCAGTTCTCCGGTCAACTCACGAACGTTCAGATCACGTTTCGTGTTCAACTGGGTAAACCAACATGTTCACACAAACATGACATGTACAACAAAGTTTTAAGTTATGAAATGCTGGAGATGAACCCAGTTGTCAAAATGGGGATATTTGACAAAGTTTACTGGGTTACAAATGCTTGGAACTTGGATTATCAAATGCTGTCAGAAAGCTCGAGCATGTTGGAACCAAGATCCCCAATGCTCACAATGCCAGCCATGCCTAGATTCGCCCTGGAGATGAACCAGTTGTGGCTACACCATACGTCAAAAAACATGACAATTCCAAGTCCCGTGGCCAAAATCTGCCATGGTTTCCTTGGTAAACCTTGGATGGCTACTTTCATAGGCCTTACCCTCCAGTAAATTAACAGTTGGACCCTGCCATGTTAAACGGGGTGGGAAGACTAGTGAAACCACTATAAATTGGTGATTTTCAGGGTCCAACTGTTAATTTACCAGAGGGTAATGCCAATAAAGCCATTTGAACTTTCCAGGTGTTTTCGAACATGATTGACCATGATCACGATAATGGTTAGGTTAGGTAAGCACCATTACATTCACTCCAAATATCTATGACTATTAAATATCACACCATATATTACCCTGTTAATCCGTTAATTTCACGATACTAGTAACTGACTAGTTTAGACCTACATTATATTGTATATATTGATAATATTTATGTATATATATATATATATTACGTCCCTGTTACTAACACATGATAACCCATCATATATCATAATTATTATTTCATCATACTATATCAGTAATCATTATATATATATATCCAACATATAAATCATCATATTAATATTGATTTTATAATAGTGCTGATATGTTGGATATATAATGTGATGGGTATATATGTATATATATACACATTCCAATTTATGATGAAAAGGGCATCAACATATATATACATATATATATATATATGGTTGGTGGTTTCAATCCCTCTGAAAAATATGAAAGTCAGTTGGGATGATTATTCCCAATATATGGAAAAATAAAATTCATGTTCCAAAGCACCAACCATATATATATATATATCATCCATTCATAAATTCAGAATTATCCTAAAATCTGCCATTATTGTTATCACTTAGCAGACAAAGCCCATCAAGATCCTCACTATATTGCGATCATTTCCATCATGTCTAAAACAGTATATACATAAATAATACCCATAAATGGTTCCCATAATTATACCATAAATACCATCATATTTTTTGGTAAAGGATTTCCTCCATCCACAGTATCACGATATTTTCATCGTGGCCTCCCCGACCGTTCGTCCCAGCGGCTCGCGATTCTTTCTGTTGTCCAGCGGCCTGACCGCACCGGGTGGATCCCCTCCACTAACTAGGGTTGATTAGGAGGATACAACAAAAAAAAATACGTCTCGTTTATGTAGCTTAGGATTTTGTTCAATGAATTATGTATGGGACAAAAGCACATTTACTCTATTTTATGTGTATGTATAATATAATATAATATAATATAATATAATAAAATATAATATAATCTAATTTAATATAATATAATATTATATAATATAATATAATATAATATAATATAATATATATAGGTAACAAAGATAGATAGATAGATAGATAGATGGATAGATGGATGGATGGATGGATGGATGGATAGATAGATAGATAGATAGCACACGTGTGGTGGGTTAGGGACCAGTTACTATCCGTAGGTCCCGCACATCCAAGTATTTGATCAGCTCGGAAAGGTTTTTCACGCAGCCCACTTGGGCGGATTTTCATCAGCAGAATTTGGAAGATCACCAGCAAACATGGGTTGCTGCAATGTTGCGGCCTAAAAAACATTGCAGCATCCTCGAAGCACAACTGGTTTTTCACGACCTGTGAAACTTTGGTGCTTTGAGGAAAAAACCTGCCATGGCTTGACCTGTAAGACAAGCACTTTTTTTGCTACTAGTCTATGTTTCAATTCACAAAAGAATACCCTCTGGTGATTTAACATAGCTATTGAAAATGGCCATTTATAGTGGTTTTTCCCATTAAATATGGTGATTTTCCATAGTTATGTTAGTTTACCAGAGGGTAACTCACCAAGCTCCCAAAGTCCCAAACTGAAGAAGTAAACCCATCTACGCTAAAAAACAAACGCATAGCAAATCTATGTGTCACATCTCTGCTTGGTCGGTTTAAGCCCCGCAACATCTAATTCTGGTCGCCAGTTAGTTGGAATCTTCGTCCAAAGTTGAAGAAAACCACCAACCAACCAATTCGTTTTGAGGCTATTAGTATAGTGTGTAGCCCCCAATTAGTATAGTTGATTTTAGGATATTTTGGGTGATGAACCAATGGTAATATGGTGAATTATGGGATAACATGGTAATATTATGATAATCTGGTTGGTGGTTTTTCGCCACCCCTCTGAAAATATGAGTCAGTTGGGATGATGACATTCCCAACTGAATGGAAAGTCATAATCCATTCATGTTCCAGTCACCACCAACCAGGTATAGTATGTAGCCCCCATTTGTTGTCATTTACCTGGTGTATCCAATATCAGATACCACCAACCAGGTATAGTATGTAACCACCAACCAGGTATAGTATGTCATTTACCATGTCATTTCATCTGATACTTCAAAGTACCCCCCTTTTTTTCACAGCCGTTTGAGGTGTATGAATCCAGGGCACCTTGGCACGCTCGGCTTCAGCGAGGCCCTGGCGCTCCGTGGTGATGAGCGCGTCCGTCGATAGACGCCGTCTTTAGTTTTATATAAATGAAGCTTTATTTTTTTTAAACTGAATCTTAATTCATTTATATGTTTCTTAGTATATATATATAGTTATAAATAAATGATTAATTTCAAGCTTTAGTTTTTTTTGCGATTGATTGAGATGTTTTATAGCAGGTATACCACAGGCTTTTCAGTGACTCAGTCTGGATCTAAGCAAATCTTGCAGTCATAAGGGTAGGGGTATGATGAAAAAGATGGATATCCTACTGTATGTATACTAATACACTAATAATATGTGTATTGAATTCTGTATACACTGTATACACGCATTCAAGTATATCCAACAAACAGATGGATATGAAATTTGTTGCTCTTGTTGCTATAGGTCGAAAATTGAGAAGCGAGGCCCCAACAGCGTTGATCACGGTACTTTCAGTACTGTGTCAACTGATGATTCATTCTTCCGGCCAAAGCCATTTGTCAGGGGTTGCCGCCTTCAAACAAAGGAATCAGCTTCCACACCCTTGAGTTGTCACCCACCACATGTCACCACCATCATCACAATTTGGGTAGTAGTCTCTTGTTAAGCCTCAATATCTACTGCGGAAAACAGTGGGCGCGGTGGTTTATAGCCCAAGTTGCAGCAAATGAACATTCTCAGTTAGTTGGTCAATATCTAGGATCTACAGTAAATCTTTACTTCCAAATTCACTTGTGATATTCTTAAAGATATTAGATGTTCCCAAACATAGATGCAGATATATGGGTGTTTCCATAAATGGGGGTACCCCAATATATAGCTGGATGGTTTCTTTCATGGAAAAATCCGATTGAAATGGATGATTTATATAGGGGTACCCCCAATTTTAGGAACCCCCCATCTCCAGATTCTCCACAGTAAATCCACCGTGTTTTTTCTGCGAAACGCGGCCACCGTGTCTAGAAACACCACCGCCTCTGGGCTACGAGAGTTGATCGTCGCCTCCAGCTGGTGGTTCTGAATCCTTGGCAGCTTGGAATGGCTTGGAAGCCTTGGTTAATGTCTTACTGGGAAAATCATAGGAAAACCATATGGAAAATGGTGGTTTTATGGGAAAATCATAGGAAAACCATAGGAAAATGGTGGTTTTACCCTCTGGTAAACTAACAGTTTGCGAACTGGAAAATCACCATGCTATTCATGGGTAAATCCACTATTTCGACTGGACCATTTTCAATAGCTTTTTGTATGTTTACCAGAGGGTAATGTGCCAGTGAATGTCTTACTGGTGCGTTTTACGCAGGGTGGCTGGATGGGTTGCTTGGGGTTGCTGGGATGATTTTTTATTACTAGTGATTTAGTGGGATCATTCCCGAAAATTCCCTGCGTAAAACGCACCAGTAAGATGTGCTAAACCCAAGAATAATTGAAACATTCATTTTCTGAGAGGAATTCAGTAGGGTATTACCTTACGGGATTCAAAGCCCTAACCCCACGGGATTCCTACGGGTTATCGGGTTGTAATTGGCATTCATAGCCATTGTTTCTTTCGCATGTCAAAAATGGAGAAACTCCGCTTGGGAAACAGTGTAAATTAACAAGCGGCTTGCGACTGGACTATGCAACCTGTCCCAACGAGATGTACCCGAGGGGTAAACATACAAAAACATCGTGGAAAATCCATATGCCGAGGAAAATAATCTACAACCGGTGGGGTTTCCACATCTGTGTTCTTTTACGGGAGGGTGATATAAAATTCACTTGCCTGAAATGTGGTGATAACTTGGTGTGTGTGTACGCTTACCAGCCACATCATGTTGGATGATCAATGGGATAACCAGTCTCAATCGTATCTGGTTGGTGGTTGAGCCACCCCTCCAAAAAAATATGAGTTTCTCAGTTGGGATCATGAAATTCCCAACTGAATGGAAAAATAATCCAAATGTTCCAAACCACCAAACCAGGTATGAGAAACATCTATACTCTATACATGCGGGACTTTCCTATCAGCCAGCTGAGCTTGCTAACATCTTTAGGAGACTTGCTAACTGGGGTGGCGAAGCCTCATTGAATTGTTTGCTCATCAAAATCTGATTGACAAATGCTGGGAAGAACTTGATCTTCCTCCGGACACAGCATCCGTGGCTGTGTCTAAGCTTAGAGAAACATCAAGGTCATTCAGAATGAATGGACTCCCCAGCAACCCACCCATACCCACCACCGAGATTCTGAATTGCTTCAATGTCTCGGTTCAGCTGATTGACATAGGTCAGCAAACCTGAGCCAGGGATTTTTAATTCCAGAAACGCTGATTTACCATGCCCTGAAAGTGAGGTCTGACTTATTTCCCCATAGATGTGTGATAATCCTCATCGAACTCCGGGGTAGAGTTTCTGGTTTTCTTATTGTTTTGGTTGGTCAACCTATATTATCAGCAGTGAAATCCTCATTGCGTCCATGGTTTGTTTTGATTTCTTGCTTTTACTGCAAGTTCTTGTGGTGAAATCACATTGCTGAGCTTAACCCTTTCTGCTGAAACTGACCCCATCATTTTTGTTCTATTGTGTAACATTCTTTAGGTTTCATCCGCAGTTTTGCTGGTTCAAATTCCTTTTTTGTCAAAGTGTATTTCCATCTGGGCAAATGCTTGTAATTCACCATGATCACCGTGTCTACTGACATATGGTCATCCCATCATTAGTGGGAAACCTCATATTGGCCGTTCTCATTCCTGTGTTTAATGGTGGAATATAATCCACTCCCCCTTTTTTGGGGGAAAAGTCGAACTTGTGATCATAAGTTTCCACAAACCTTCGCGTGAAATATGCCCATATGGAGCTTTCCCAAACGTCCTTGGGGATACCCCAGTCATCCAAGTCATTGGACCATTTTGTATTGAAACCGGTTTTCCCACTGGGGATCCACAAAAAAATCGGGTCCAGGCGCTGAAGTTCCGCTGTTCCAGACTCACAAAGATCTTCACAATCTCCTGCACCGGCACCGCTTCGGAATCCGAAAGTTTTGGTGAAATCAGGCCTGAAGTGCTAGTTCTGGTGAAATCTTCAAGGTGAGGCCCCCCGGCAGTTTTAAAGTTGTTTTAAAAGCCCATCAACTAATACTTACAGTATATCACCCTAATCAACCCAAGAGTTAACCAAGTGATTTTTTCATCAACTTAGTCATAAATCAGCATCAATTAGCGATTTATCCCATAGCTACCCTCTGGTAAACTAACATAGCTATGGAAAATCACAATTTTTAGTGGGAAAATCCACTATAAATGATCATTTTCAATAGCTTTTTGTTAAATTACCAGAGGGTATCCCATAGCTAAATCCCCCAGACACCCAAAAAGTCAACGGTTGCGATGTCGTTTTTCAGGGCCGTTGACTTCGCCCAACTTCGCCCATCGACGGAGCACCCCATCGAGCACCGGCCGGGGGCCTCGATATCGCTGATCTGCGTAGAGGATTTGATGGTCGCGAAGGCCTGGCTACACAGGGGAAAGCCCCAGCCACAAGGAAGGTCGTTTTGGATGTATTTCTTTTGGGGATGAGTTCAATGGAAAATTTCGAGGAAAGCCATGGTTTTGATGTAACTGGATGTAAATGGATGTAGAAACTGGGTTTAACCATCAATAAATCAGGAATTGACAGGCAGTACATGGAATTTACCCTGTATGGTTGAGTCCAGCAATGCAGGATACCCTCAAAAATTGTCATTTCAATTGGGGCAAATGATGGTCAAACATGAGATTTGGCGATGCCTTATTTTCAGACAAACCCAAATTGGATGGAGATGCTGTACATTCACGTGCCAGGTATGTGCAGATGCAGATGGATGCAGATGGATGCAGATGTTGGTGTTTCTGGAAACTGTGGTACCTCAAAATACCATGGCTTTTCCTACTAATGACCAGCAACTCAGATGATACCTTGCAGAAACCCCTCATGTGGCCTCTTTCCTGTGCCAACATTTTTTGCATTTCGGCATGAATCTTTCGAGCCACATATGGGTTTCACCCAGGTTTCCGGGAGAACTTGGAAAAGTCATGCTGCCAAGTGCCCCTTTTCACTTGGACAGGTACAATTTTTCAACTGCTCATGATCAATGTGAAACAGCAATCTTGAGAAATAGTGGACATAACATAATCATAAAACACACGATTGAATTACGTATACGTTTGTTACCCACAGTATATAAGCATATTGCATCTATGTGTTTTAAGCATATTGCATATATGTGTTTTAAGCATATTGCATATATGTGTTTTAAGCATATTGCATATATGTGTTTTAAGCATATTGCATCTATGTGTTTTAAGCATATTGCATCTATGTGTTTTAAGCATATTGCATCTATGTGTTTTAAGCATATTGCATCTATGTGTTTTAAGCATATTGCATCTATGTGTTTTAAGCATATTGCATCTATGTGTTTTAAGCATATTGCATCTATGTGTTTTTGCTTCTTTAAAAGCTCTAAAAAGTACTCATGTACCTGTGGAACAATTCCTACACATACACGACACATACGACAAATCATCAGCCCCTTCCAAGGCTTCACTACAGAACATGGCCGGCACGCCGGCCTGTTCGAAGACTTCGATGTTCTTCATGTGTTGCTTGATATGCCTGGCAAGATAGCATCCCCAAAGGATGCTAAAATGCGAAAATGTGTTTCTGTTTAACAAATATGAATATATATATATATACATTGACATATAAATACATATACATTGACATATATATATATTGACATATATATATATTGACATATATATATACATTGACATATATATATATATATATACATTGACATATATATATATGGGGGTTCTTAAAATAGGGAATCCCAAAAACCATGCTTGTTTCAATACATTTCAATACTAAAATGGTCTAATTTAGGATGATGTGGGGGTACCAATATTTTAGGAAACCTCCATATGTAAAACTGGAACCTGAATCCTTTCCGATTCTTGGTTTCCACCTGACCCACGAAAACATATGCATCTTTCATACCCTCTCTATACCTCAAAAAAAACCTGACTGCTATGTGTTCCGCAAAAAAAACAAACAATAACCATAATCCAACATATCTGGGTAAATTATAATATTTCACTGACCTGAATTAAGGCCATTTTGGGATGATTCCCCTTACTAACCATGATTCCAGTGAGGGAGAACAGTGAGGTCGTTATAATTTACCCAGAACATATTGCAACGCAACTGCAAGGAATTCGGCGCCAGAAAGCAGCGTTGTTTAACCAGCGTGCCTGCGCTGGATCGTGTTGAGGAAGCAGACCTTCAAAATCCGCCGATGCATGGCGCTCTCCGAAAAGGCTTCTTCCTGCGGACCAAAACCCAGCTGGAAGCCCGAACGAAACCATTGGAAAATGGTGATTGAACCATCTTTTTATGGGGATTTCATGAGATTTTTAGCTGATTTATATTGATTTATGATAGCAAAGTTGGTTCAGAACTTGGTTAGCTGTTGGGTTTATGGGGTATATAACTTCTTTTTTTTTCGGGTTGTAAACTTATAGCCTGGGGGGTCAGAAGGCAAACATAGAGGAGCTGCTTTGGGTATCCGGGTATACTACTTTCCATGCCTAGACATATGGGTGTTTCCTGAAACTGGGGTAGCCCAAAACCATTCCATTCCATTTGTTTTCGCCATGAAAGATGACATTCGTGTTGGACACAAATTATGACACTTTTCTGACAGATTTTGGTGTCAGCCTCATCCGCCACCATGAAGTTCTTCCTCCGCGAGCCCGGACTCCTGTGACCGAAGAGACGGAGCGAATTGCCACGTCTACCATCCGGTAGGCATGGCTAGAGGAATCTAAACACCAATATATAGTGGCTTATATCATGTCATATATATATAGCCTATGTATATATATATATATGGTATTCATGGTGTCTATATATATATTGGTAATTAATGGTTCATAGATAAACAATATATAGATATGTGTAATGACTATGGGAATATAATAAAATATAGCGACTCATAGTAATGGTGACGTCGAAGCGGTTCATGGGGAAACACCGTGGAGTGGTGATAGCTGATAGGCAATACCATCATCCCAAATAAATAGATCCAATAGATCCAATTGTTGATCCAATGGATACCTACTGGATGTTAGATTTCCATATTTATGATTTCCAACATTAGATATAATCCAATGGATATCTATATGGAAATGTTGTTAAGATATCATCCAATGAATATCTATTATATGATTTACGTACGTTGATTTACTAGATTTAATCTGAGTAGCTTCCAGTAAACTACAGTACCACATGGAAATCCATGCTTGTTTCCTGTTCCGAAATGATCTATGGAGATTTTAACCCTTTTGGCCATCGAACTACCATTTTTGGGGACGATGGCTTTACCACCCACTTATGGTAAGTCAGTGGAAGAATTCTATGAAATTCCCTTGACTTGCTGGTTAAATCCCTAGTCTTGGCAAAATGCGAATGTGTTCCCTATGTTTCTTCTTTCAATCCCCGCAAAAAGCGTTGTTGGAAAAAAAAGACTCAGTTTTCGTGTGAAGTAGACTCAGTAGACCAATTCCCAAGTCAACTGTTGGGAAAATCATGAATGTCTCAACTTTTGTTGGTCAAAACCCTAGGGCCCTTCTTCGAAAAAAAACTATATACACCACCCTGGAAGCCCGCCGGTCCCAGGTGAAGGGCTTCCAGCTCGACTCCTGAGGACTTGCGAGTCGATGTTGGGAGAAATCTGGGGGAATGGGAGATTTGGATGGGGAAAATTCTGAGAAAATGGTAGATTTGTCTGAGAAAATGATAGATTTGGATGGGGAATGTTGGGATTTGTTGATGAACAGGATTTTTCAAGGACAAAGTGAGATGTTGATGGGAAAATCTGAAAAATCTTGGAGACTTTATAATTATGGGAAAATCTCATCGATTTTCATTGGAGATATTGGAGATGCGGAGAACATTTCTCCGATTTGGAAGTCAAAAAGTGCTATTTTGTCGGGATTCGAAACTCTTTTGGACAGCTCCAGGATTCCGAAAAATATCATTGTCCAGGTCGGAGGACATATTGCACCTGGTATCTTTGTCAATGGTCTGCTTCAGAATCAGGAAACCATGAGATTCTGTGGTTGCGTAATCCTGCACCACCACCTTGGATATCTTGGATGGTTGAAACCCTATAAATAATGGGATGTTTACCACCGTCCTCAACTGGTGCTTCGGATTTCGCTGGCCCATCCACCGTATCATTCAAAGTAGTTGATGGTTCATGGGCAAAAAAAAATCACGCAAGGCACTATGATGCACTTGCTTTCACCTTCACAATTGATAATTGCACATCGAGAATGCTTCCAAGATTCAATGGATTGGTTAATATTGGTTATATAACCCTCTGGCAATCTGGAAAAGTGCCCATTTATGCATTTATGGATGATTTTCCCAATTTAATGCATTGCCATTTGGTTCGCGGATTTCAATTGCCATTTGGTTCGGGGTTCCAGGTGATGTGCAGCGGCGAGCTCAAGTTACTCTTCCCATTGTCCACAAGGGGTGTGTCCAAATATCCACTCTGTGGTCATTTGACATAATTTGTTAGTTAGCTATGGTGTAGATGGCCCATTTATATCCATTTAGTTCGATGAATGGTATAGAAAAATGATGAAACATGATTGTCATATATTTATTGGATTGGTTTAAGGGAAAATCTCAACCGGAAACCATGGTTTTAACCATTAAATATGGGAGTTTCCGGTGAACATGTTCCAACCAATCCCATGAATATATGGTAATCTGCTCAATTGATGGTACCCAGTAGTAGCCATGACATGGTCCATGTAGGTGCCCGGACAGAAGTTCTTGCTCACGAGCCTGAACGACAGCGGTCGCTGTGCAGTTAATCACATCACATGGGCTTCATACGGTGTCGTCCGTCCCAGAACGGAAATCCAAAAATAGTGGCTGGATAAAACCATATACCCTCTGGTAAACATACAAAAAACTATGGAAAATCACCATTTTAAATGGGAAAACTCACTATTTCAATGGCTATTTTCAATAGCTTTTTGTGTGTTTACCAGGCCGGGTAGTTTACCCCACGAAGGGATTGATGACAATTGCCAACGCAACCCATGGGAGCAACCCATGTAACTTGACCATGGCACGTACGTGTCGATTGGGTGGACCGCATTTTCAAGGGTACCACGAAGGCAACTTCAACTCGTGGAATCCATCAGCGGTTTGCTTCCCTGTGGATCTACTGCAAGCCATGATTGCCCCCAATAGATCCAAGCCACAATTGGATGGGACATGAGATCCCCAGGTAAATTCCCATCATTTCCCATCCAATTCTGCGCAATCGTTGAGCCACAGTTGCCAGGGTGCGGTTTGTGGATCTAGAAACCAGATCAAATCGGCATGATTTGAGCTACACCTACTAAGTGAGTCGAAATGGGCCCTATCCGTAGAATTTGCTATCAACTTCAAAGTTCGAAATACGAACTAAATCCAAATTTACTGTATATTACCGTAATATTGGGTCCATCAAGTCATCATTTACAAGACAATCCAAGCGTTGATCATCTTTGGTTCAGCATCTCAGCTTCCCAAATCATCTTACAATGGCTCATTTTTGGTGGGTCAAATTGTAGCTCATTTCAGCAGGCCCATCTGCGACACCAAACAACTCAATCATGTGGCTGGTTTGAATCATATGGATTTCGAAAATGGGCTGGGCCATGGCTATGGTGATGAATTACCCATAAAAAATGGTGATTATTCATTCCATATATTCCATATATTATAGTAGAACTACAATAAACCAATGGTAAATCCTACCATCTGGTTATTTAACATAGCCATGGAAAATCAACATTCTTTATAGGTAAACCTCTATAAATGGGCCATTTCCCATGGCTATGTTAAATAGCCAGAGGGTAAGAACAACACCAACATGTCCAAGTTATGGTCCAAGTTATTGATCATGAAATTTTGGGGGATCGATGGTGAAAAGGGCTCTCCGGGCCGATCTAAAAAGGTCAGTTTCTGACTGGGGAAAACACCTGTGACAAATCATGAAATCCTTGATGAAGCATGACATGTTGCCTGTAAGTTAGATACCCTCTGGTAAACATACCAAAAACTATGGAAAATCACCATGCTATTAATGGGTAAATCCACTATTACTATGGCCATTTTCAATAGCTTTTTGTATGTTTACCAGAGGCTAGTTGGTTTGATATGGATTTCTCTAAAAATGGGATCACCATGTTTGCATAGTTTTTACTATTCACATAGCCATCTGGGGATCCCAATCCACCGTTGACCAACCCAGATCCCGCCAAGGTTTACCACAGATCAAATCAACCTGGAATTCCCCTGAAAAACTCCCTCTCTTTTCACCAACAAATCATGGGCTGGTTGGTGGTATACCTACCCATCCCTCTGAAAAATGATGGAGTGAAAGTCAGATTGGATCATCATCCCAGCTGGGAACATAAAAAATGTTCCAGTCACCAGCAACAAATCATGGGTAAACAGGGGTTGGTAACTGTCCCATTTTGGGTATATTGGACATCACCTGAAAAAGTAGCCATCTAGTAGACCATATACCCAATGGTTGGGTGATGTTCAATGGGGACATCAGTCATGACCCATGGGTAAATTTGTCCCTTCTTAAGTGGACCGCCATCGCATCGCCTTCTTATTTTGCTCGTTGATTTGCTTCTTCAGCTCCTGTTTTTGTTCAGGAATGGATTGATGACGATGACGGTTTCGAGATGTTTCAACATATCAAAGATGTGGCTACAGGATGGGGCCCCCAAGATAGCTAAGTTGCCTTATAAGTGGCTTTATGGTAGATATAACGAACTAGTTAATAGGGGTTATAATGGCTTATAAACCCACTTATAACTGGGGGGCACCATCCTGTATGATATCATGATTATAGAAGTAGATAGAATGTAAATAGGGAAAATAGGGGTTACAGAATGTGGATATACCATCTGGTTATTTAACATAGCCATGGAAAATCACCATGCTATTAATAGGTAAACCATCTATATAAATGGACCATGGCTTCCATGGCGAACTGTTAAATAACCAGAGGGTAATATGGCATAATCAGTAGGGTCGAAATGATTGAGGGTAAAGAAATGGAAAAACACCCAATGAAAAACGTAGTTTTGCCCCACAAACATGTGCCTTTATCCTCACAAAACTGGCTCATACCCCAGTTTCGGTCTGCGTGGTGGTTCAAATTTATATAACTGAGATCAAAATCATCACAGTTGTAGGGTGGTTGTATATATATGTTTTTGCTTGTGATGATATTGATCTGTAAATCATATAAATATATAATTGTAAATTATGGTTTATATATATATATATCATGACAATTCTTGAAACCAACAATCAGATTCTGTTTTCCGATGATTGTACTTCAGGGTTTTTACAGGGCGAGCCCCTTGAAGAAGCCCCAAAAATCGCTTGGATCGTAAACAGACCAACTATGACTTGGCGAGTGACCTTCAATATATGGATGTAACCAAGCTGAAACTTAAGTGTACTTAAGGATCCAAGTGCTTATCTTTCCTGCTATGTTCGGAACAAACAACCATGAAATGCCAAGAATCACCAAGAAAATATAAAGAAAGAATATATATATATATATTTCTAATTATTATGTATTCATATCTACAAGAGCCAACAAAAATCCAAGGACAGGAACATCGCGTTGTGTTTTTCCCGGCAGAGAACACGGAGGAAGTTCCCCCGGCAGCGCTCCTCGGTTTGTTTGTGGAAGTTCTTCCTCTCCCTTTCCAAGGCTTTACCTGCACAGTTTGCGGACGGTACCTCTGGAGAAAAATGATAAGCATTTTTTATGGTATAAAATTAGAATACTGTAAAACTGTATAACTATTTGAATATATCATTATGTATATATATATATATCATTATATATCATTATCTATCAATATAGTTCAGTATATATCATTATATATCATTATAAAACATTATATATATGTATATATATATATCAATATATATCATCATATATCATTATATAACATATTATGTATATCAATATATATATATATATCAGTATATAATACATCATTATATATCATTGTATAACATGATATATATATATATATATATATATATCAATATATATATATCATTATATATCATTATATATCATTATATATCATTATATAACATTGTATATATATATATGTCAATATATATATATATATCAGTACATCTCATATATCATTATAAATCATTATATATCATTATGTATCATTATATATATATATATATATCATTATATATCATTATATAATATTATATATCATTATATATCATTATACATCATTATACATCATTATACATAATTATATATATCATAATCTATCATAATCTATCATTGTCTATCATTATATATCATTATGTATCATTATGTATCATTATGTATCATTATATGTCATTATATATCATTATATATCATTATATATCATTATATCAAATTATATCCGCCGACCCCGGCCGACAGCAAGGGGGAGCGCGCACAGAGACTATTTATCGAATAGGGAAAATATAGGGGAAACGGTGGTTTTAACCATCCAAAAATATGGGATTTAACCAATAAATGATGGAATCAATGGGGACTTATCATATAACATTCCATTCCAAATACCTCCACAAAACCACCACACGGAAGTTTGCTTTGCTCAATCCCCAAATTTCTGGGTTGTGCTTTTGCTGGTCACCGAAGATCTTGGCACACCCCAGGTCTTTGCTCTACATTGTCATTTTCAGCAGAGGATCCCATAATGTTCAGAGTACACCCTCCAGCAGCAAACTAACGGTTTGCTACGGTATACCTGGCCCATTTTGTTCGATGATTTGCCTATTTAAAATGGTAATTGTCCATAGTTCTGTACGATGCCAGAGTATAACTTAGATCAATATTAGAATAAGGTCTCGTATATTGAGAACAATAGCCACGAATATCTTGCAAAACCTAGAATCTGTTGACTATCTTTGGTATCTTCGATGCTTGGACTCCCACAAAAATACCTACCCTCTGCTTATTTAACATAGCCATGGAAAATCACCATTTTTAATAGGTAAACCATCTATTTCTATGGGCCATCGATACCATGGCTATGTAACAAATAACCAGAGGGTAATATCGTTGATAAAGTTACAAGAATTAGTTTTACATCGTCCATGAAGATCTTTGGGATGTTTAGCATATGGGTTACTCAGAAAATCAAGCACACCAAAATCCTATTGTTGATCACCATTTTATCATTAAAAAAAACAGGTGTGGGATATATCCATTTTCAGACAAAACCAAATTCAAATAAACATATTGTTGGTTAAATCCCCATGTTGGTTGGTGAAAAGCTAAAGAAAAGGCAGACCCATATCTGACAATGACCCTTGTTTTTTTTTCTTTAGTGAACTAAGTGGATGAATCTAATCTATAACCATAGTTATACGGGTTCCTGTATATCTCCACTTGTGGTGGTTAAATCAACGGCTTCAGGAACCTAAATTGGAGGTGCCTACCATACATAGGGCCTATTTTTTAGGGCTATTTTTTACGGAATATCCCCACAAAATATGGCCTTATATGGTACTAACGTACCTCCATTTTAGGATCCTGGAATTCCCATTGATTAAACAAACCATGGTTATACCCTGCACCCCCTGTTGCACCTTTCCGCTTCAGACTCAGGTCCAGGTCCCCCTACCCAGCGCTTGACATCGCTGCTGCATCTTGTCATGTTCCGACCTGCGATGGCGCTGAAGAAGCGCGCCGGCGCAGGTCGAGGATGCAAAACGGGTGGCATTTTTTGTTGCAACTTAAACTGGAGATTGCCGAAAACACCAAATGATTTACAATACAAGGTTCATATAAAAACTCCAGAAAACTTAATCAAAAACCATTCCAACCACTGTTTATACAAAGAGTTTTTTTTTGTTTAGGCTGCCAAGAGGCTTCGTCGTATTAAACACACGAGAGAACCGGCTCTGCACAGGTACTTGAGCATGTCAAGGGATACACTGTGAACATCCTTGCAACCTCGCAAAGCATAAGGTCTTGCCATAATCTTAGGCACGAGACACCACCAAATATGGTCTTTTGTGGGATATGATGTGGATGCAAAGTGGGGCCCTTAGATAGCTAAGTTGATTTATATCTCCAATAATTACGGTTTATGATGATACTTATACCTTTTGTCTATACAGTAGTTAATGCTGTTTATAAACCAACCTATAACTCCGGGGACCCACATTGTATGATATATATATATGACGTTACTGAATTGATGACAAAAACCCTACTTCGTCAAAGCTACCAAACCTCCAGGTTTCCCCAGAGATGCGGATCAAAAGCCCATTGCAGGAAGATCCCCCCAAGACTTTGCTGTTGGGAGTTACCCAGTTACCTGATCATTTACCCGGCCTGGTAAACGAAGAACAATGATGATTTTCCTTGGGATTCTAATGGGATTTTATGGTGATCAATAGGGATTAATGTAATTTACCCTCTGGTAAACATAGCGATTGAAAATGGCCCAGTCGAAATAGTGGATTTAGCCATTAAAAGTAGTGATTTTCCATAGCTATGTTAGTTTACCAGAGGGTAACATATAGCTATGGGAAACGGGGGCCATTCATAGACGATTTACCTATGACAGTGATTTTCCACAGCTTTGTGCTCATGTCAGGTGACAACTGCTGTCTCAGCCTCATGAAATCTGCTCCAGACCGACAATAATATGGGATTAAAAGAAAAACAACGTCCCTCTTGAATGTTGAACATACTGCGGATGGTTGCAAAATCCTGCACCACCACCAAAAAGATGGTTAAAACATGTTAAAACCCCAACAAAATAATGGGATAAACATGGATTTCTACCATCTATCAACTGGTGCGGGATTTCTTCACAGGATCTTGGGGGTTTTCACCGGGATTCCGCGGACCTGTTGCTGGTGATCTCAACATTTGCTTCCTCAATGGCCTTGGCGATGTCCAGCCACACCCCGGGTCCCGCGTTTCTCGGTGCGTGCTTCGAATAAAAACTATGAATTAAAAAATTCTAAGAAGTTGATCAACATATGATAAATTTGAGTATGGCTCAAAAAAAGGCAACATGTCATCCATTTTTGGGTGGATTTTTGATTTTGCCCCATACTCAACTGTCAACATTAGGACATATTAGGACTACTTCTCGGAGACGCGTACTGTGTTCCAGCTGAGATCGACCAAAGCCAGGCCACCCAAATGGTGACATCGGTGATTCAGCGCTAGATAAATAAGAGTCATTGGGACCTATCATCACGTGTTTATCCATGTCTAGGACTTAGATAAGACCCTAATTATTTAACCATAAATACATAGAAACATGTAAAAATATGAAAAACACAAGAACAATATACTCTGGTTGGTGGTTTCAACCCCTCTGAAAACTATGAAAGTCAGTTGGGATAATTATTCCCAATATATAGAAAAATAAAACATGTTCCAAACCACCAACTTTGTCCAACTTTGTATTTCGCGCAGCCAGTAACGAGTGCTGACTGCCCGCTTTTCGGGTAATCACGCAGTAGAGAGCACTACCAATGGAAATTCCAAGTCTCTGTCGGCAAATGGAAGGGAGCGCAAGGCAGATGAATCCCTCCGAACCCCTCCAGGACACATGCGAAGAAACCATTCATCAACACGTTGTAGGCGGCCATCGTCCCAAGGAACAGCCAAGCAACCCGTGTGAAGAAACAAGGAATCAGACGTGGGCCTACAGAAATGGTAAGTATATCCTTGATGGGCATGATGCAAACTTTCTTTCAAAACTTTGGCAAACCACCGCGTTCTGGCTAGAAAAGTAAATGAAAGCAAATCAACTTCTGGCACTTGGCGCCCCATGGTCCATTGCTGCAGTTTGATGGGACCATCTCCACCGCACATCAAAAAATCGACGTACAATTGGAATTGTGAAATCCATCGCACAGGCTGTTGATTGTCGCTCACAGCATTCCAGAACCATGAAAGAATAGTTCTTACCATAACGTCTCCATACCACCTAACGGCTGCAGCAGGCACATGAAAAATTCCAATAGGTTTCCAGGCATGAGAAGGAACCGGAGGTGTGCAACACAACTCTTCACGAATTTCACCTTCATCTGCCATGTCATCATGAACGATCGCACGACTGATGGAAAGAAGCACCTTCTGCACCAGCCTCGACAATTGCTGACATGATTGGGTGGCGGCAACATGTTTAGCATAAAAATCCCAGAAGCCTGGCGGCCGCAGGAGCTGTGCCTGTCCTGCTGCTTGATCCACCAAGTTATTATGCCAAAAACACCACTCTTCCAATGGCGTCAACGCCTGTGAAATTCGTTGGTGTGCAGTGACCTTGGTAATGGCAATCTGCCCAGGAGCAAAGTCTTGAAGTGCCTCATTGACCTGTTCCCACAAATCAGCATGAGCCGAGTTCCTACGGACTGAGCCCCCTGCCAGCAAACGACGCACTCTGATTACTACAGCATTGCAGTCAGTCCAGAGGTGCAACCTACCTACATGGTTCCTAGCACACAAAAGCGCCTGCAAAATGGCAAAAATCTCAGCTCTATAGGATGATTGAATCAAACCAGGCAAGGGACCACTCCCAACAACCGTACCATGCATGTCTCCTACTTGAGCCGCTTGCATGACGGCCCATGCAGCCACACGACAGGTGGGGTAGGCCTGGTTCAGACAACTTCCGTCAGTGAACAAATGGATTTCCGATTGTGAGTGCACAAGTTGGCCCGGTCCCTCATATGCAACATCTGAAAGCATTCTAAGCCACGTGAGCAACGTATGGGGTCGCAAACTCCAACCATAAGAGGACACAAACTCCGGCAGCCTCAAAATGATGTCACGTTCACTGGCTGACACATGTGCCCGATGGCTGTCAAAGCGCTCACACTCCCAAAACCTATGATACCTGCTGTCTGTACACTGGCAGAAAGGACACGCATCAGTTCCACCTTCCTGGCAATAGGCTTTGCCGTCTTGAGTGATGTGGGTTCCATTAAGGCACTTATGAAAAAGCATCTGGTCATCATAGGCAAGGGATTTCAGCCAGACCCTGGTATCACCTGGATCGGCATACTGCAAATCACAAAGGCCAGGTCTGTGACTCACTTTTTGAGCAACCACATACTGCCATGTCAACTGGGCTCGGAAAACAATTTCAGACAGGCTTGCATCAAAAAGAGAAAAATGACCTACCAGATCACGCACCAAACCGGACATGGAAATATGCCATCCAACAAACTGCATTCGCGTCACCAGAGTGGCTGTAATCCCGTTGTCCGGGAGTTTTTCATCACCATGTGCATATGCAATCAACCGAGGGACTACTTGGCAAGGCTCAGCACAATCGCGGATGCATCGAATTGTCTGCACCAGCGCCCAAAATTGAGGGTCAACTTTGGGATTTTCGATCAGACCAAGTTGTACCCAGGCATTGCATCCTGAGCCGTCTGCAGCAAGCCCTTTCATTGCACCAGCTCTAAGTCCATGATACGCAGCATCACTGATCGTGGTAGCAGAGATGGCATGCAATGCCCGTGGCCAAGCAGCCACGACCAGTGCACGTACTTTGGTGGCATAACTGCACGCCGAGAGGCGCAACTGTGGCCAGATTGGCTTCATCCCTTGAACCCGTTCCATCAGTGTCGCATTTGTGTGTTTGCGCGACATCTGGATGTGCGCGCCAAGATTCTTGGCAGACAAGACAACTTGGGAACCCTGGGCTCGCAGCAACTGCCTACCCTGTGGTGATATCGACCAGGTGTAAGTTTTCTTGTGGTCAATTTTGAGATCCATGGCATGAATGAAACGATCCAATGATTGTCGCACCCCTGACACCAAAGCTGGATGCCCACACAACACTTGCCAATCATCAACGTATGACAGGGAGGTGCACAATGGAAAGAAAACTGCTTGCCAACGGTGAAAGGCTGCATCGACAAGCACCATAGCAACGCAACTCAGTCCACACCCCTCAGGAAAGCCCGTCACACTTGGAATTCCAGCTGACAATGTACGTCGGAGCACAAAATATCGCTTCATTTGAGTCAGGGCGCCTGCCCATCCAAACAGAACATTACCAGGCAATCCCATGTGCGAGGCAATCTCAAAAACTGCCAACCTCGGCAACAAGTTGAATGCCTTCTGCAAGTCCAGGACCAACCCTGAGAGCTGCACATCATGCTGGTATGACCACTCTAGAGTCCACAACAACTTCGACCAAACCTGAGTAGCATGACGTCCACTGCGACTGCCATAAAGGGTGTCAGGAAGGCATGTTTCAAGTGCAGAGAGTGCTTTTCTCGCATGGAATGAGCTCCAGCAACGATACAGCAACCCAAAAATTGTAATTGGTCTAAAGTCCGAAGGGCTCCCAGGAGTCGGGACTTTAGCCAAGCTCACAACCTTTCCATGCACCAACTGATCAGGCCAACAGCCACGCGTCTCAGCCGTGGCAAAAAGGCTGCAGAAAGATTGAAGGATTGCCTCAGGCATGCAAAGAAGGTCAGCAAGTCTTACACCATCCAACCCATGTGAAGTGCTCTTTTTCTTTTGACGAATGACCTTACGCAAAACTGGGGGCGACATGGATTCCCAACCAAATTGCCCAGCAGGCATGTGGGCTTTGGCAAAGGCAGTGATCACTTCCCATCTCGAAGCTGGTACATCCTGGTGTCGCATCCATCGCTCTCGCCATGCATCAAGGAACACCCTGGACAGGTCCTGATGAGTACCAATCATGCGTGTCTGGCTTACTTGGGCACCTACAGGAATCCTTTCAATGTCATGAATCCAAATTGCATCCTCTTCATGGTGAATCACTTGAAGCGGTTGGCCGTCACAAACAATGGGTCTCTCCGGGTGAAAATCACAAGAGTTTTCCAAGGTTATCTTGCCCTCTTCACAACAAACTTCTTCAACAGTAGCCCTGATAGGTTGCAGCAGAAGGTCAACCCCTGGGACTGCGGAAGGTCGGATGTCAGAGAACACCAAATTTGGATTTTGGCACCTACGGAATCTTGCATATTGTCGAGATTGTTTGGCCAGGAGCCCTTCAAGGTGCCTCAGAGCCATGGCCATTGAGTCAAACATGGCCCATGCTTCCACAGATGTTGGCGGGCAAGTTGGGCAAATTGCCGGGGCCCCTCCAGTGCGAAATTCCATTTGGGACCACCAAGTGGGGAAGTCAGGGGTAAATCCACTGGCCCTACAAATAGCACCCCATGTCTCGGCTCTTTGTACAGCAGCATGATCAGAAAGGCTCCCGCTCAGCCGGGCAAAGGACTGAAGCCGTCGGACTTGGCGAGTCCATTGTGCATGCCTACGAGATGTTCCATAAAACTGTGGTTGCCAATCCCCTTTTCTCCCTGCCTTCACGGGTGCAAATTGCGCCATCTTGGCTTGTTTTCGGTGGAGTCTTTGCGCTCTACCAAGGCATTGCGCAGGTATTGGGAAGGGGCAAACTTCGGCGGCTGCACTCTCAATCTGCTGCCACAGCCTCTGGTAGGCCAGGGTGGGATCTTCAGAGGAGTCCCATTCAATTGGACCTTCAAAGTGCTTGGGCCAAGGAAACACCTGAGGTGATGGCCAGGTGCAAACCTCTGGCATGGCCATCGGGGAACAAAATTTTGCAACCAACACTGCATGATCAGGCCAAACATCATGTATTACATGAGCTCCCACCAGGATCTCTTGTAACTCAGGCGACAAGTACAGAAAATCCTTCCGCGTGGCATTCTTGCAGGTATTGGAAATTGGGGTACCCCAAAGATCTAGCGCCAAGTCTTGGATCTCCCTAAATCCAGCCTGTGTCAAAATGTCAAAAGCAGGAAGGGTGTCTTGAAGGACATTCCAATCGCCCGCCACATATCGAAATCCAGTGCTCAAATGACAAACATGAGAAGCCACATGATGGAGCAAATATTCCGTGTTACGCAAATG